GGAAAAGCTTAAGCCTGAAATGAAAAGTCAACTTTTAGACGAAAGAGATGAAAATTTATTCCAAGTCCAACGAGTTATAAAGATGTCTCTCAGTGATCTCTTTCCATGACCTACCCATGAAAGGAATTTTTTTTCATTTCCTGTTGCCACAAGTGACAAACAAGTCAATTTCTGGGTGAACACAGCAAACACAAATGTTGTTGAACACCTCTGGGAATAGCTCCCACTTATAAGATAAGGTCAAGGTCCTCTATCTGCTAAGTAGGTTGACCTTCTGATTTTTCTCCCTCCCCCCCCCATGACATGAATATAGACACTGGGTAGACATGTCCTGTAATCAAACTGCTAGGTATAGAAGGGACATAAAGTGAATTTCTCCCTGCTTGTTTATGTAATACATAGTAGTTGTGTTGCTTGTGGTCACTTGTATTACTTACCCTTGATTAGCTTTCTGAAATACTTGGCAGGTTTTTATCACAGCTAGCATCTCCAATGCATTTATGCTTCTGTTTCAGACCAAAGCGCATGAATCAGGTGGCCCAAACAGTGCACTCCCCAGCGTGTAAGATTCACATTGTTGTCATTTCAATGCTTTGATCTGGTGTCATACATTACTTTTTCAAATTAACATGAAAGCTGAGTTCTGACAAAAAGCGGGAGAGGCATGCCATGCATTTTGGATGCTGGGTGCTATCAATAGACCAAAGGGGAGCACTATGAATTCATAGATTTTGCTCATGGCAAAATGCAGAAAATGTCAATGGTCCGAACAGATGGCATATGGAAATAAATACCCTTGAGGTCTATCACAGTGAAACAGTCTCCTTTTTTTTTAGAAGGTCGCCATGGTATTGTTGGTTTCAACAACTCCAGATCCGAGGTAACATGAGAGTGCATGGGTTCAGACAATCTAGGGGCCATGTTTTCTGCGGGAGTGTTTCAGTTCTGGTGAATTTGAGTGCTAAAGCTTTCAAGACCAACAAATGAAAGGGGCTGGGGCTGGTGAGTATACAAACAGGTCTCAAAAAGGGGCCACTGACCTTGTCACCTGACAGCATTTGAGAGTGGTAATATGATGGTTAAAAAATCCACTCCAGGCCAGAAAAAAGAGGGGGGTAAAGCACCATGGAAGAGATGAGGAGGGTATCTTGACTTATATAGCTTGCTGAAAGTTTGCTGGGCAAATTGGCTCCATTCATGCGAATGGGTAAAAGCTGGGAACAATGTCCAATTCTGGGATATCTATGCTTCTGATGCCACATCTAGGCAGACCAGGTTGTTGTGCTCCTCATCGTGTTTGCCTGGGATCTCAATGTGGTACAGGAAATAGTGAGGTAACAGGTTCAGTAGCAACACTTTGGGCAGACATGTTTGGTCCTTAGAATTCTTGGCTTTGTTCCCCCCCCCCCAACTAAGAATTGGAATCAGTAGACTTCATTTTCCTTTTCTGCACCAGTAGTTGTGGTTTTGATGATTTGGAAGGGAAAGGTCTGTACTCAGTTTTGAAGTCAAAGTTTGCTGGCTTGGGTCTATTTGGGTAGCCTGCTCTTTAATGATGTTAGTGGGAGTTGAATTGACCTGGAAAGACTCCATTAGACGGTTCTTTCATGGTGTTTTGCAGACCAAAACTGTAGGAACCAAGGTCTCTTTGGCAATGGTGTCAACAGCCTGCAGAGACTTCTCCCACAAATATAATTTCAAACAGGACTGATGGTTCCTGATGGCTACCTTTGTAAATTTTTCACAGGACTAACAGTTCACATCTTAAAAAGCAGAGACATCACCTTGCCGACAAAGGTCCGCATAGTCAAAGCTATGGTTTTTCCAGTAGTGATGTATGGAAGTGAGAGCTGGACCATAAAAAAGGCTGATCACCGAAGAATTGATGCTTTTGAATTGTGGTGCTGGAGGAGACTCTTGAGAGTGCCCTGGACTGCAAGGAGAAAAAACCTATCCATTTTGCAGGAAGTCAACTCTGAGTGCTCACTCGAAGGACAGATGCTGAAGCTGAGGCTCCAATACTTTGGCCATCTCATGAGAAGAGAAGACTCCCTAGAAAAGACCCTGATGTTGGGAAAATGTGAAGGCAAGAGGAGAAGGGGACGACAGAGGACAAGATGGTTGGATAGTGTCATTGAAGCTACCAACATGAATTTGACCAAACTCCGAGAGGCAGTGGAAGACAGGAGGGCCTGGCGTGCTCTGGTCCATGGGGTCGTGAAGAGTCAGACATGACTAAATGACTAAACAACAAGAACAACAACAGTTCACAGCAAAGCCTTTGACTATGTAGACTATGAGAAACTATTGAGTAGTTCTGAAAGAAATAGGTATGCCTCAGCACTTGACTATCCTGATGTCTAACATATTGTAGAGGAGAAGCTACCAACAGAATATGGAGACAGAATGGTTTCGTATAGGTAAAGTTGTTAGTCAAGGGTGCATTTTGTCCCCTTAACTGTTAAATCTCTCTGCAGGAGATATATGGAAAGCCAGAATAGATTCAGACAAAGGAGGAGTGAAAACTGGTGGAAGAAACATCAATAATTTAAGATATGCAGATGACACCATTTTACTGGCAGAAAGCAGCAATGTCTTGAAATGACTTTTAGTGAAAGTGAAAGAAGAGAGTGCCAAAGCAAGGACTGCAACTGAACATTAAGACCAAAATCATGACTGCAGAAGAACTGCAAAACTTTGACATTGATAGTGAAGAGACTGAAGTGGCTGGGGATTTTCTATTCATTGGTTTAATCATCAATCTAAATGAAGACTGTAGCCAAGAAATTAGAAGAAAACTGGGACTCAGAGACACAGCAATGTAGACATTACAAAAGATCAGCAAGTGTAAGGAGGTGTTACTGAAGACCAAGACCATCCACATTCTTATCTTTCTGATCACAATATATGGGTGTGAAAGCCGGACAATGAAGAAAGCTGACATGAAAAAAATGGATTGGTGGTGGAAGAGAATTTGTGGATACCGTAGGCTGCCAGAAAGACAAACAAGTGGGTCTGATATCCAATAAAACCTGAACTATCTCTGGAGATAAAAATGTTGAAACTGAGGCTATCCTACTTTGAGCACATCATGAGAAGGCAGGACTCTAGAAAATACAATTGTGCTGGGAAAGGATAAAGGCAGCAGGAAAAGAGGAAGACCAAATATGAGATGGACTGACTCCGTAAAGGAAGCTGCAGGGTTTGAGTTTACAAGAGCAGAGCAGAAGACATTGAGGAGGGGACATTTTGGAGATTGCTCGTTCACAGGGTCGCTATAAGTCAGAGGTGACTTGATAGCACATAACAACAAACAACAGTTCTGTGGTTGATGTCCCTCACCGAGGCAATATAAACCCTCTGAACACCTCTTAGTGAGGGGGATTTTATTGCTACAGCTGATGCACCTTTTGAATGGAGCTGTTGGGGCCATTAAAAGGCAGGAACCACTGGTAACTGCAAGAGAATGATAGAAACTAATAAGCAAATTCTTTTTTTAGGAATGACAAAAGAAGAGGAGAAGGTGGGAAAGACAAGTAAAAAGGTAACTATATACAGATAGGTTTGAAGAAGAAATAGAGCAACAGTAGGTTCCAAGTATTCTCTCAGTGGTGGCCAAAAAGGGAACTGACGACTGCCCTCAGGGTGGGATGTTAGAACCTGATTAGGACAACTGACTCTCCCAGGAGTCCTACAAAGATTTATAGACCTCCCAGGCAAAGAGAACAGATTCTATGATTCATCATAGCTGACATAACCCCAGTAAAGGATTAATTCCAGAATCAGACCAGACAACCAGCAACAAGCTCTTGCAACCCACCTGGGCATCTCATTTTAAGCGTTGCAATAATTCCAGACAACTCCAGAACGTGTTAATTCTGTTCTATTTATTTACATAATGTCTAAGTTCCATACTTTAAAATTAGCAAATCCAAAAAATATCAATGACAGTCTTACAGTGTAGGCACAGATGCTTAAATCCAAAAGTCATACAGAAAAACTGCAGCCATATATTTCATTTAAAAGTACAAAGTGGTATAATTTTGCAGTAGAAGCAACATTCAGCACAAATGGAAGTAGGAAAATTGCAGGAGAAGTGGTATTTGTTGTGGTCAGACACAAGGAGAATGAAATCTACCGTGCAAATCAACTCCCTGAGGATGCAGCCTGGCAGAGGCAAACATCTTTAATAACTCAGACATGCTTCAGAGGCTTCATTATGAATTCAAAAAATTTGGAAGATTTATGTACTGCTTTCCTCATCTGAGCCATAAGCAAGGTAAGGGGAGAGAGAATCATCGAAGAGAAAACAAGAAGAAATCAGGAAAAAGATACTTTTCTTTTTAAAAGAAGATGAGAAACATTAAAAGAAGATGAAAAAAGTAGGGATGGAACAAGCAAAGGCTTTTCAAAGCTAAAGCAAGGGAAGAACTAGGGGTATACGGTGTGGAACTTAGACAAACACAAAAATCACATGACCCTTGCCTTTCCTTGCACAGCAACTGACCCATGTACACAAAACAAAACAAAAAATCATAAAGCAGAAACAAGTTACTCACAAACACCTGCTCTTACTGTCAATGTTCACACACATTTTAATCATAACTGAAGTCAATACAAGAACTAGAAAAAGTACCCACAGAACCCTCCTCAGCAAATGCACAAGAGAAAACCCCATTCCCAGAAGTCTACCCAGAATCCAACATTCAACGCATATGCTCAGTAGCGAACTGGGTTTTGTTGCAAGGGTTCACACTAGAGATGGGACCTTCGTATTCATCTCCTGGGGGGAGATGAATATGAAGCTCGCCACCACAGGTAGCCAATCTGATCAGAACCCCCTCCCTGCTCCTCAAGTTTGTCCATTTACTGCTTGTGGCCTGGCTGTTGTCCTTCACGTTGTGCCAATCGCGGAAGTAGCCTAGCTGGGCTTCCCCGCCTCCCTCTACTGCTGATCAATCAGCAGCTGGGCAGGAGGCTTGTCATCCCGCCCCCTCAGCTAGGCACCTTTGCGATTGGCATGGCAAGGATGATGGCCACGTGTGCCACAAGAAGTAAATGGACGCCTGGTTTGGGAGGGAAGGTCCACTTGAACTGGCCACCTGTGGTGACAAGGTTTGCATTTGTACGAAGCTCCCATCTCTAGTTCACACAAAAGACAAATATAAATGGAAAGAACTTCCCAAAGTGAGAGACAGTTTGAAAACCTCAAATCTAAGTCACTGGCAGAGATATGTAACTGAAGACTTCAGCATTACCTACCTGAAGGTAATGTTGTTGATTTAGGTGGCTCAGTTGGTGTAGTTTTACTAGTACCAGGGCTTAAAAGTTTTACATAGTTAGCAGGAAACCATCCTATCTGCCTTTTTTTCCCACGAGCCTAGGGAGAAAATGAAATATTAGACCTTTATCTGCAGACATATCAACTGCAATCGGCCTTTTTTTTCCCACGGGCCTAGGGAGAAAATGAAATATTAGACTTTTATCTGCAGACATATCAACTGCAATAAGGAGCAACTTTGCTAAAATAATGCTAAAATGGCTGGGTTATTTAATGCACTGGTTCTTAACCTTGAGTTACTCGGGAGTTTTGGACTGCAATTCCCAGAAGCCTTCGCCTCTAGCTGTGCTGACTGGGGTTTCTGGGAGTTGCAGTTCAAAAGCATCTGAGTAACAAAGGTTAAGAACCACTGATTTAATGGATCTGAGAAAGGTTCCGGACTTGCTTTGATACAGGGACTTAATGCAAACTAAGTGGAAGTACTACAAATGAGACACCTCTGACTGCTGCAAACTACTTGCAAACCTTAGTTCATCACCTGTTCTTTTTCCCCAGCGCAGGGATCAGGAGTATGTGGCCCACCCAATGTCACTGGAATAAAACTCTTACCTGCCCTATCAAAACAATCCTGTTTTAACTTTCACTTACCCTTCATTTAATTCTCACACCACTTCTTTCCTACATACAGATTTTCTTAGGTTAGGGTATCAGGTTGTTTTTTTTTTAATGGATGCTTCTCTTTCCTCTAAGCTGGGGGAAGCAAAGATATGTCCACTTCCTGAACTTAATCCACTTTGTGGGGACATCTCTTATACAAAACTGTCCTCCTGACCCTAAGATTTCTTCTCTGCCCACATTCCCAGTGGGCAAGTTGAGAAGGACAGGATGCAGTTTGGAGAAGCTTTCTTTTCTCTCCAACTTCTTGTCAAATAGAACAATGGAATTCTCCTCTACCCTGCTTCAGGGGTAGAAGAATTCCCATTCCTGTCTATCAGAGATTGGGACCAACCAATCGTTCGTGAGTAAGGTATAAAGGTAGGCTGGTATAGTTGTTAGGGTGTTGGGACTGGGACTTTGAGTATTCAGGTTCTAATCCTCAGGAAGCCATGAAAGTCATAGGGCGATTCTAGGCTAGTCACGCTTTCTCTCTTAGCCTGAAGAATTTAAAATATGTATTGCTGTGAGGAACTGGGGGAAATTAATGTTGCCCTGAGCTCACGGAAGAAAAGTTGGGAAATCAATGGAACTAATAAATAACAGGAAGGCTGTCTTCTCATACTTCTCACTGTCCAATAAAACACAAGGAAAAAACTTTGTCCATTGAGAGAAAGGAATAGATATCTGAGTCCCTCCCTCCAAGAAGAAGGTAAAAACAGGAATAGGGACAAATTACATCCAGGAAGAGGGAAAGTGCCTGGACAAAGTTCCAGGCTTGGCATCATCCAGTCCAGCAATCTTGGTTAATCTAGGACCAAATATGTGCCTTGCCTCTGCTCTAGATATTAAAAAATGCATATGCAGAACCTGATTTTAAGAAACATATACTACACATCTGTTTCCATGCAAGATTGCCATGGCTACTGCAAAAATGTCTCTTTAATTGTAAGAGTTCTTTCCCAGACCTTTTAAAAAAGCATGTTATAACATGGTATTGTTTATGGAAAATAAAAATAAAGACAAATGTGTCTGGCTTCAAAAAATTATCTAGGAACAAGGGCACCATTTTTACTTCCAGTCGGCACTTCTTTCTGATGAATACAGATAAACCTTACATTTTATTTGTTCAGTTAATTCCGATTCCATTCCTTTTGTGCACAAATGAAAGATTAGTGGCAAAAACAGTGACTAACTTGTAGCTCTCCTTCCCACCATCCACCAGGATTCTTCTTCCTGATAAGTATCAGCTGACCAGGGGCGAGTGTAAGCTGTTCGGGACCTGTTGCTGTGTATGAAGCAATCACCTGAGCAATCTCTGTTAACAACAATAACAACAATTATTATCAGTTAGGTATAGCACACATTGATTGTGTATACAACAATTAGATCAAGACACTGCTCATTTGATTTACACTCAACAATCCAGTGAAAGAAACTACAGGGGAAAAAAAAACACCTTAGATTCTCTTTCTGTCTTGTTGGAAGAGAAAAAAGCTTGAATGCTGTCTGCCACTGAGTTTAACTGACGGTATATACAAACTCTGGAGAAAAGATCACTAGTATGTTCAACTACTCTTACTGCAAGTAGGCAGCATCCATTAGTATGCTGCTCATATTTGATAAGCCAGGGTCTTGTTTCTTCCAGGCTTGCACTTATACCCAAATATTAATAGTCTTTTCAGTTTAACTATCCAGATCCATTTTTTCTTCACAGCCATGTTTATCACTTCACACCAGGGAATAATATATCAACTGAATAATACAAGCCATGTGGACATTTGGGGGAGCAAATTGACTAGCATCTGTTTAAAACAAACAAGGCCCAACTGATGATGCAAGGTCCAACAGATAACCACTTGGGGTGCCACTCGGAACAGAAACCCTATAGGATATCACTGACACCAAGATTTTACCTTTCATTCTGTAAAAATCTGCAACAAGGATTACAGGACTATTTTATCTTTCCCTGAAGACCAAGTCAAGTAAGCTTATTAACAAAATATAATATAAATATAAATGTGAGTTTAAGCACACCTTTCTACTAATATAGAAACAAGTGGCCAGTACAGTTTAAATATGACATGAGGAAGAATGGCTGTATTAAAAACTATGAATGCATTTTAAATAAAAAGTTTTAATGAGAAGAATTTTTAAAACCTGAGGAAAAAACATAGCTTATTGGTGAAGCACATGCTCTACATACAAATGGTGTCTAATTCAATCTTTGGAACCTTAATCTAGAAGTACCAGCTGGTAGGTAATGAGACAAAATACTGTTTGACTGACAGTGGACAGTAATGGGAGAGACATATCATCACCTCAGGGAGGGGGGCGATGATAACTTCCTCAATGGCTCAAGGGGGTGTTTCTTTCAAAAAGGTTAAGAACCACTGATCTAGAAGTACCAGCTGGTAGGTAATGAGACAAAATACTGTTTGACTGACAGTGGACAGTAATGGGAGAGACAGACAATCAGTCTGATAATACGCAAAATGGCTTCTTATATTTCCATGTAATGGAAATGTAGACCAGCTAACAAAGATTTCCTCCTCAAGTACGCAGAATCATCCTCTGATTGAAATTGGACACATTCACATTGTGGCCTGCATGTCTTCCAGGAGTCCAGCATTTGCACTCAAGAGTTTTTAGTGCCACCAGCAGCTTCTTCCTCCCATTGCTCTTCTCAAATTAATCAGAACATTGTACAGTATCATGTTCCTTGAATTTATACTTCCTGCTAACAGGTTAGCCGAAGGTCAGTTGTAAGAGAACAGACAACTCAGTATTGAGGTAAATTAAAGCCAACTCAGCACCAGGTGCTGTAGAAAAACAATGCCAGGTCTTGATGAAGCTGAGCATGCGCATCAGCAACTGAAGGCAAAAGGGACTGGAGATAATAACACCAGATATTTAAATATATATTTCAAACATAAATGTCTATAATACATGGTAATTCTATGGTATCAATAACCTATAGGTACAAAGTGGCAGCACTTGCCCTTTACAACAGTTATATTTGTATGATGATCTAAGGGGAAAGCAAAGAATATTTTACAAATGTCATTTTAATGCTTCCTTAGTGAACAACTCACCAGGTTTCTTGCCTAAGCTTCCTGTTTTTCCAGCATTTCCAGGCACCTTTAAATAATATAAAACTCTTATCAGTTTTATACAGAAACATTTGTATATTATGTATTACCACTGCATTGTGTAAAGACCACACAGCTCTATTCAATTTAATAATTATGAAATGTGCAACTAGTTCTGCTGATGTCAGAGACCTACAATAACTTAAATATCAGACCATTTGTGCCACATGACAATTTGATTCAGGAACTAACAATTTCAAAATCAAACCCATGGTGGTATTGTAGATGACTTGCATTCTAAAGAGATAACAATTCCACAAGCCAAACAGAAACATTTCACAAGTCAAATGCAAACTAACAGGCGAACTTCTGACACCTTAACTCTGGTCAGGACAGGCGCTTATTGGAGAACTGACAATTATACTAGATTTCAGGGTTAGTAGGTCTCTTCTATGATCCTCTCTCAGATTACAATGACATTCGTAATGGTCAGTGCTATTCAATTTCTATGAAAAATAAGAATAAAAATAATTTTAATACACAGGCTATCCAAATTTTGTAACAGGAATCTTTTCTGCATTGTGCAAACTCAAGAGAAATCAACATAACTACTGTATAATTTATGCTGGAGTTCATGCTACTTTGTGTAATTTATTCTGAGTTCTTTTTACTTTAACCTTAAATTACTGGAACCACCTACAGTATATACAGAGTACATTGCTAACATGCAGACCTGATACACCAATTTTACAGAGGGATGCTACACATTTCAAAGTATGTGCATTTTTTTGAGACTCTTGCCCTCTTCTGGCAGGCAAGAGATCTCAATACCACTTTCTTCCCATGTGGAAAGAACAAATTTGTCTTACAAAGAGATTTCAAAAATTCTCATGCTACTCAGTATAACTACTGTAAGTTTGTCTCATGTATAATTTAGGCAGATATACTGATATATCCAGTCACCTCTCCCTACTTTCCAATTGTTCCACTACTAGTAGAAAGCAGTTTGTACACTTCACACAGCATAGCACGATTGCGGCTGACTTTTTCTGGCAATCAGAATAAGCGGTTTAAAAGAGATTACAGGGGAGAATGACAAAAGGAGACCAATCCTTCAGTTTCACAGAAGGTGTCTCCTTCCACAATGTAAACAGCATTAATGTACTACTGCTCCTCCTGATCAGAACTGTGAATAAATTTAGTTGCATTTTAAAGAATGTACAGATATTTTAGGAGAGCAGAGTAACACCTCCATTGAGCTTAATACTGGTGTAGTCTGAGAAATGTGCTTTCCAAGTTGCTTGTTATAGGAATATTTTCTGGAATCATCATTTAATTTTGTAACAGCAATAGTGACGACCAATAGTGCACACAATCGCCAGAATTAAAGACTACTTTGGGCTAAGTTTGGTTCAGTATGTTTTTGCTTCTATCAACTCTCATAATGAAACTCCTGGTTAAATTCACAATAACCATCAAGGACATAGGAAGCCTTTTTGAAGGCTGACAATAGGACTGGCGGCGCTGAGATGAAGCCTGAGGCCTGAAGGAAACATTGACAGAAGAGGACTGTGCTAATCTTCCCTGAGCTGGAGGAGGTCTATAGGGACGGTAAGTTTGGAGGTGCTGTTGGTATTGTTGCTGCCCGAACTGCTTACGCCATTGAAACTTCTGGAATTTTGACTGCTGCTGGATAGTATAGGACCTAGCTGTTTTCTTTATCTTGTGAAAGGTTTCCATGATTTCATCAGTTTTCTCATTGAATAAGCCAGCTCCATCCATCAAAGGGTATTTCCTCTATGCGTGCTTTAGCATCTTCTGCAATCCCTGAAGACCTCAGCCATGCATGACATCTTAGAGAAATCGCAGACGCCAAAGATTTGGATGCAACATAAGCCACGTGATGAGAAGCTAACCTTTGGTGTATAGCAACGGTTGACACTTCAGCAGGGGCATTGAGGAACAGTCTTAGTATCTTCAGGGGCTGCTTGAAGGGCAGATAAAACTTTGACCCAAAGCTGTCTCTGATAAGGCTCCTAGAGCAGCCTGATAATTTGATACCCTCAGCAAAAAGGAAGCAAAGGAGTACATTCTGCGTCCCAGACCGTCCAACTTTCTTCCCTTCCGATTCGTAAGGGTAACTTTGGCTTTGCCTCCTGTCCTGAAAAGATTGGACTGGACAATGATTGAGTTAGGGGCCGGGTGTTTGGACAGGAACAAGGTGTCACTTCCATGGGTTCTATAATGGCCCTCCATTCTCCTAGAAATCTGCATAGAGGCGGATGGCAGATTCCAAGTCTCTTTAATAATATCCATCATGGCTGGGATAAAGGCCAAGATCAAAGGGTGCGGCTTTTCCTGATTGGTATCATCGAACAACAAGTCCTGCTTAGGAGGCGCTGGCTGTTCGATGTCAAGTTGAAGTGATTTGGCCATACGCAATATCATTTGATAATAAGACATACAGTCTTGTGATAGACAGGGAGAGCGCAAGTCTCCCACATCAGAATCCGGTGTGTTTATGTTTGGAGGAGTTTCCTCCGATGTTTCAGAAAGGATTTCATCATCTTGGTCTGAGGCAGACGAGGCTGAAGAGTCTCCCTGAAAGGAAGGAGAAGGTGAGGGTGGCATACGATGCTTAGTAGCTGGCACTGAAACATTAGCAGTGGCATGGACCCTCTTTGATGTTGATGCCATCTGTGTAGAAGAGTTCCAATGTAGAACCTGGTATCTAGTGGATTTCAACATCGGAATCTCGACCTCATAGCTCGACCAATGTTGACGTTGAGGTGGCGAGGGAGATGGAGAAGAAGAGGAGGCATAAACGTACCTAACACTTCTGCATTTGCCATAACTCTCAACTTCATAGTATGGGTCGACATCGGAGTCATCATCACGATATCGATGATGAGCAACCCTGCACTCGACCTCAACATAAACTGGGTCATCATAATCAGATGAAGTTCAATATCAAGAGGGTCTAGGTAGCAAGACCACTTCTCGACATGAGAACTGGTGTCGAGGTGGAGAGGTGTGCTTTTTTTTTGCGATCTTCTTCCTAGGAGATGCCTGATGCAAAGACTCCTCCGAGTCTTTGCACCAGGCAAATGCCTTATCACAGTTACCCGTCCGGTAGACACAGGGCTAGAGTGGGCAGAATCCTGGCTGGAGACAATCTCAGCCTGTATACGGTTCGGAATCAGGGAACGACTCTGTACCGAGACCGAAGCCTGAGTTGTTCGATGCCGAACGGAAGTATCGCCTTCTGAGATAGATTCAGTGTCAGACAGGTCTCTGGATGACTCCTCCAATATCAGGGATGGCACCGACTGTGAGATCGGGGGCGGATTACTGAGCTGATCCCTTGAGGAATGTTTCTCCTTCTTGTTCTTATTGTGTTTCATCTATGTTTTCTTTTTCTTTAGGCTTTCCGAAGATGAATGCTTTGGAGCCGACACCACAGTAGGGATAGAAGATTTTTTTGATACCAATCCTCAGGATTTTTTGGTGGACCTTGTCAGGGATTTTGGTGAAGGAGTAACTGGTAAGGCTGATGCCATGGGCTCGGGATGGGGGGTAGATGGTTGAACTGTGGTTGGCTCCATTGAGGGTTTGGTGGGAGAAGGGGATTTGCTCCAAAGGTAGGCTTGAAGCCTCTGTTCGTGGGACTTTAATGCAGGCTTTGATAATTTTTTACACTGTGGGCAGGCTTGGGGTTGATGTCATTCCCCTAAACAGTATAGGCAGTGATCGTGGCCATCAGTGAAGGGTATCTTGGCGGCACAAGAAATACACCGCTTAAATGGGCATGAGGAGGCCATAAACCCCAGAGAAATACGATTAGGGCAAAGCCACTCACAGATCAATGAGAGGTTTAAAAACGGAGAGAGGGTGGGAATCTCTGAGTGAACCGATCTTAATCCAAAAGGGTAGTCAAGCAGTCCGAATCAAGCCAAAAGACTGCTAAAACGAGGTAATTAAACAAGTCCAAATCGATGACTGAAAGGGAAAGTCAAACTAGTCCGAATCCAGCCGAGAGAGATTGTTATGAATGAACTATTTAGACAAGTCCAGAGATCATTGATCAAAATGGGAAGCCAAGACAGTCTGAATGAAGCCGAGAGATAACTATGAATGAGGTAGTACTCCATGAAGAAAGGGCGGGAAACAGTAACTGGATCAAGCCAGGGAACAACATACAACAAGTCCAGAAGACAGAATCGAAGTTAAAAGCAATACGTTATCAGAGTCGTAGAGAGAATCCAGCAATAAATTGAAATCCAGAACAGATCGAAACCAGAAGGCAAAATCCGAAAAGCTCTAGCGAGGTTCCAAACGTGACGGTGGCAAAAAAGAACTGAGGTACAAGGGTGGGCAGAGCATGTATGGTAAGGGACAACGTGCTACTAATGTTTCTTGTTTTAAGCTCTAGAATATTCCGAGATCCAGCGCAAGCACAGGCTAAACCCAGTTGTGTGGATTCACAGAGGCCATGTAGAGGAATTATTACTTTTTTATAAAAACTATATTTAAGAAAAATGCATACACACATTATTTTACCTCTGAGTCTTTGAGTCTAACATAGTTAGATGGAAATACTCCTGATTTGTCTCCCAGTGTTCCTGTCCACCAGTCTCCATCCTTCTTAGTGACAAGAATTAAATCCCCTTGTTGAAATGTTAAGTCCCCTTGTTCTGAGCTCTCATAAGTATACATGGCAATATATTCTAGAAAGTAGGAAGATTGGAAAATGAAAAAATATTTATTAGTTAATTACATTTATTTCATGACAGAGAGACAATGGGTGAAATTCTGTTGTGAAGCTCAGCCTGTGCAGTGGAGGTGATATCATCAGGTGATTTCAGGGTGCATTTAACTCATTCATATGGTGTGCACCTTGAAATCCCAGAGAAGGCCTTTAATCTGCAGCGATTTGCCATTGTTTATTGTTGCATACATGGACCTGCACAATCAGATTTCAGCCATTGTACTACAATTAATTTCTTCTCCCAAGTGTGCTAGCAGCAGTTTCTGTTCTCAAAACAACACTATTTTGGTCTCGCAGCAGTTTTAGGATAAAAATAAGACCAACTTCAAATTGAACAGGATTTAATTTCTTATAATAAGAAAGACTGCTAAGGTTGATGGATCTTGTAGTCCTTGACTGAATACAAGGAGAAAAGTCCACACAGTGGATTGTCTTCAAAAATAGTTTTACAGACTTCCAGATGTAATGACTGTCATTGTCTTTGTTGAATCAACATCCTTACAGAAATGTGCAAAGCACACAGCTCATGTGATACTTGTAGGCTAAACTAAGTCTTAAACTAAGAGAACGATTTGCCCATAACAATGTGACAGCACCATTTATTCAAAATGTTTTTGCTATCACCCAATATTAAATAATATATTCATATTCTATGACCTATCACACCTTAAGGTTCAATGTTTAACATTCTTACCTTCCCCCGAAATGGCAGATTTTGCAACTGGCGATGTTCTCTTTAGGTTAGCAGGACTCTCTGAAGACGAAGAATCCATGCTTAAGGAAACAAGCATACAGTAAATGTTTTATTATGTCAAAAGTAATATGAAAACATTACATATCACACAAAGAACATATTTATTGTTTCATAAACTTTATTCTACCCTTTTATTAGCTCCTCCCTGCCATATCATTGCAACCATCTAAATATAACTTTGCCACAATCTTTTCTTCCCAATTGTTATTACATACAAGAGTTTGTAATGTCTGACGAAAACAAGCAAGAACAATACCTTGTTGATTTCCTTATAGGACCTGAAATAAGCTTCACATATGATTTAGGAAACCAGCCCTTTTGTCCTTGAACCTCTCCAAACCACCACATGTCTTGCTGTTCTAACACAGTAATAACATCATTCTTGTTAAAATTCAGATGGTTATCTTTCTTGGCTCGCCAAGGATACAAGGCCTGTGCTTGAAGTCCCTCCACCTTTTCACCCTAATTAAATATATGGAGAATAACAGTCATTTCACATATATTAATATACTTAGTAAAATAAAAACTAGCCCAAACTTATCTAGCAAGTACATAAAAATAAATCCGTGTATTTATTAGTTGGTTTAAAATATTTTTACCCCACCTTTCAAAGGAACCAAGGCAGCTTACAACATTAAAAGACAATATTTAAAGCTAGAATCAATGAGTATACAAAAGTGACTTACCAAATTAAAAGACAATGTTTAAAGCTAAAAATAGTAAGTATACAAATACTAAAAAAGGATCAAAGAAAACACTAAGAAATGGTAAACAAAAGCAATACCAAAAACACATCCAAAGCAGTAAGATAAAATAATCCATTTAAAAATCTCACTCAGGCTGCCAGTCACCAAGAGGAACTGTGCCTGAAGAGAAATGTATTCGCCTGCTTGAAGAAGGGACAGCAAAGATGGGGCCAGTCTGGATTCCTGTGAGAGGGAGTTCAGAAGTCTGGGAAGAGCAACAAAGAAGGCCCTCTCCTGTCTCCCCACCAAACACACCTGTTAAGGTGGTGAGACTGAGAATGGGAGACATGGTCTTTGAGATACCTTGGACGCAATCTGTTTAGGGCTTTAAAAGTTAAAACCAGCACTTTGAGATGTGTCCAGAAATGGATTCTTTCCGAATGACTAGGCAATAATTAATTCTTAAACTGTTAAATGGACAGGTTACTTACCTGTAAACATGGTTCTTCAAGTGGATCTCTATGAATACACACTAGTGGGTTAAGACAGCACCTGCGCTGGCCTCTCGGAATCTTCTAGAGCTATAGGGAAAAGTAACAAAGTTTGAGTTTGCCACGCTCCGCCCGCCAAACCCCAGTTCCATCCGCCTGCCACATAGTTGGAGTTGGACTTGACCATACAGTGATGGACAGTGGGGAGGTTGGGCGGGATGTGTGTATTCAAAGAGATCCACTTGAAGAACCATGTTTACAGGTAAGTAACCTGTCCTTCTTCAACGTGGTCTCTATGAATCCACACTAGTGGGTGACTAGCAAGCTCACTTACCGGAAGGAGGGCCGTCACTACAGAAGTGAAGTAAGCACTGCTCTCCCAAACTTGGTCTCATTCTTGGCCCGGAGGTCCAGTCTGTAATGTGTAACAAAGGTAGACACATTGGACCAAGTTGCTGCTCGGCAAATGTCTTGGATGTCAACTCCTCGCAGCAGGGCCGTGGATGTGGCAACAGCTCTGGTGGAATGAGCTCTAAGACCTTCAGGGAGAGGCTTGTTCTGCAATTCATAGGCCAGAGAAATGGTGGAAACCAACCATCTGGACAGAGTAGAAGAGGAGGCAGTGGAACCTTTACGCTGACCATAGAAACAGAGGAACAGTCTTGGAACCTTTCTAAAGTCTTTAATTCTAGTGACATAATAAGCCAATGCTCTTCGAACATCTAAAGAATGGAGCATGCGCTCAACATCTGAAACTGGATCAGTTTGGTAATATTAAAGGCTGGTTAACCATTTTAGGAAGAAAAGAAACATCAGGGTGGAACACCACCTTGTCCTTAAAAAACTGTAGGTATGGGGAGTCCATATGAAGTGCTGCCAATTCACTAGCTCTACGAGCAGAAGTGATGGCCACCAGGAATAAAGTCTTGAACGAGAGCAACTGAAGGTCACACGGATGGCGAGTGAGGCAATGAAGCACTATTTGCAGTGACCATTGCAGTATAGGTTTCTTTAGAGGAGGTCTCATGTTGGACAGACTCTTGAAGAAAGCTTTTAGTGTGGGATGCAAAAACCACCTGGATGATTCAGAGCCATGGGGCTGAAAGGCAACAATGGCTGAGGTGTAAACCTTTAAGGTAGACTTGGAAAGTCCTAGGTCAAACAGACGCCGAAGATAGAGGAGGAGCGTAGACAAGGCCACAGGTGAAGATTGCAATTTGCACTCCTCAGTGAACTTGAGAAAGTTTTGCCACTTGTATTTGTAGAGTAGCTTAGTGGCTGGCTTCCTTGCTTTATCAATGACCTCTTTTATTGAAGGGAAATCCTCGACGCTGTCAAGTGGAGAGATTCCAAGTCCGGATGAAGGATGCTCCCCGCATCCTGAGTGATCAGGTGTGGAAGAAGGGGTAACCGTATCCTGTCCACCGCTGATTGCAGGAGCATGGAGAACCATGGTTGTCGTGGCCACCAAGGAGCAATGAAGATTGCTTCCGCTTCCATCTGGAGTGTCCTGATCAGGGCTCTTTGAATGATGGGTATTGGTAGAAAGAGGTAGAGTAACCCTCTGTTCCATGGGACCATAAAGGCATCCCCTAGGGACCCTTCGCCCTTTCCTGCACAGGAAGCATATTTGTCGCAATTCTTGTTGGTCTGTGTCGCGAAGATGTCTATGGATGGATGTCCCCACTTGTGGCACAGACTGAGGAACACATCCTGATCGAGTTCTCACTCATGAGATTGAAAGGAGCGTCTGCTCAACTCATCTGCCAGCTGGTTGTCCGTCATGGATACATGGATGGCCACAGGAAATATGTGCTGATGGTAGCACCACTCCCATAGGTGAACTGCCAGAAACAGAAGGGACTTCGACCGTGTTCGTCCCTGCTTGTTTAGATAGAACATGGTCGTCGTGTTGTCTGTGACCACTTGTATCGCTCTGCCCTTCCCCAGAGGGAGAAATGCTCTAAGAGCCTTCTTCACCGCTATCAGCTCCAGGTGACTGATGTGGAGCAAGGCTTCTTGAGGGGACCAAAGAGTGTGAATTTGGTGTCCCTCGCAGTGGGCTCCCCAACCTAGGGGACTGGCATCTGTTGTAACCTGTTGTGTTAACTGCAGGGGTCGAAAAGGTTGTCCTACGAGAAGATGTGGTAGGAATGTCCACCACTGAAGTTGTTCTGCTAGCTCTGGAGTGACTGTTAGACGCTTGCACTGGCTGTCCTGCAGATGATTGAATAGAGCAAGTAGCCAAGACTGAAAGGAGTGCATCTTGAGGCGAGCATGGGATAAGGCACAAGTTGTTGATGCCATGAGACCCAGAAGATGTTGTGCTGTCTTTCTTTGGTACTGTGAAGTACCGGGAGTAAAACCCGTTTAGTATGTCCCAGTTTGGTACCTTCTGGATGGCTTGTTTTGCAAGAAGAGTGAGAATCTCTTCTAGAAGTAGGCTTGACCCATCCTAGAGGAGGCAATTCTATAAACTCCAGCTGGTAGCCTGAGCTTATAATGTTTAAGACCCAGGAGTCTTGTGTTATCTTGAGCCAGTTGTGAAGATGAGGAGATAGGCGAGTTGTGTGGTCTATACTTGAGATGGTTCTGGTCAAGTCAAAGATATTGTTTTGACTTCCTCCCGGATGTCTTGTAAGACTGTCGCTTGCTCGATTGGGGCTTAAAGGCAGAGGTAGAAGAGGAGGCCTGGGAAGACCTTAGCTGACTTTGGTTCCGGAAAGGACGGTAAGTGGAGGGTGTAGACTGTTGGTATGATTGTTGTGAATATTTAGGACGCCATTGGAACTTGGAGGTTCGAGGTTGTTGCTGAATAGAGTAAGACTTTGCCGTCTTTTTACTCTTATGTAGGTTCTCCAGATTTTCATCAGTTTTTACACTGAATAAGCCCGAGGCATCAAAGGGTAAGTTCTCCACCCTGGTTCTAATATCCTCCATGATATTTGCTGATCTGAGCCAAGCATGGCGTCGTAAGGTAATGATAGATGCAAGATTTCTGGCAGTGGCATCAGCAATGTGTTGGGATGCCAGGTGTTGATGCTTGGAGACAGTTAAGGCCTCAGCATGAACGTTAAGGCATATCTGCTTGATATCCTCTGGTGTGACTTGCAAGGCCGGTAGAACTCCTGCCCAGAGTTGCTTCTGGTAGGCACCCATAGCTACCAAATAATTGATTGCCCTTAAGACAAACGTGGTCATGGTGTATAGTCGACGCCCCAACACTTCCAATTTCCTACCCTATTTGTTGGAAGGTGTGGCATGATCCTTTGTAGGAATTTTCGAAGAACTGGATTCCACTACCAGGGAATTTGGAGCAGAGTGCTTCAGCAGAAAGGAGGTTTTAGGACCATGAAGCCAATAAAGGTTTTCAGTCCTTCTGGATATTGAGGTGGAATTGGCAGGGTGTTCCCAATATTGCATAGTAAGATCTAGTAACTCAGGGACATAAGAAAGGCTGACAGGGTGAGACCTTTCTTTGTTAATGTCTCCAAAGATTAGGTCATCTTCACGTGTGGGAGATTTCTCAATTTCCATTCTTAAGGTGGTTGCCATTCTCGAAACCATCTGAGAGTAAGAGGAAAAGTCCTCAGATGGGGAGGATGGGTGGATGTCAGCACCATCCGATCCTAAAGGCTCCCCTGGGAGCGGTGTGTCCAATGAAGCTTCAGATGTCACCTCTTCATCTTGTTCAGAAGAGTCCTCAAAAATCTGATGTTCCTCATCAGAGACAGGAAATATGTCAGGGTGTTGATCCCTATCCGCTCCAGTAGTGGTTTTCTGGGGAATAGTAGGCTGAGCAGGTCGAGACCCTGTGGCATGACTATAAGGCTTATGCCCCGTTGACGTGGAAGCTCCCTTTCCCTTCGACGCCGAGGGTTCCTGTCTATCGACACTGTGGGATTTTCGGTGTTGATGCTTTCTCGGAGGTGAAGACAAAGATGTGTATCGTGCCTTCTTCCTTCTCCTTCTGCGGTCTCTCGATGTCGAGGATGATTCCAAAGAATAATCCCGTCTTCGACATCGGGACCTCCTTCGTTCTAGACTGTCATCTGAGTCAGAAGAAGAAGTGTAGTCTCAATGTTGACACTTTTTCTGCCTGTCGACACCAGAGCCACATCTATGCTTATGATGGTGTTGAGATCATTTAGATGGAGGCTCTCCATCTCGGTCTGACGATGGATGTTGAGGAGAAGGGACATCCAAAGGCTTCTCAGGTCTCCCTCAAGGTGGAGATGGAGACTTAGAGCCGAGAGATGCTGGTGCCAAAGACTGGGATCGAGACGCCTGCCCTGTTAATACAGGGCTATGAGGGGCATTGGCTATTCCAGCAATTGCTTGTACTAGCTGGCTAGCCGTTGGTGACCTCTCGACGTCGACCGGAGTCTCCTGTTGAGGCGGTAAAGAGGCACCCATTTCCGACATCGAATCCCGGTCCGGGGAAGAGTCTTTGAGTATAGGTGAAGGAAGAGATGTAGATATAGGAGGCACAACCAAGGTGAGCTCCTTAGACTTCGATTTGGGTTTAACCGGAGGCTTTTTCTGTTTCAGTTGCTGAGAAGCCGGTGGAACAGAAGATGTTGAGGGAGCCGACAAAGTGGTAAGTGTTTTCTTAGTTGTTGATTTCTTTTTCGCTTTTTCTTTGGTTTTTTCTCTAGCAGATTCAGGAGGAGGTGAGGAAACTATAGTGACTTCTGAACGGACTGAAGAAGTAGACGGGACAGACTCCATATCCGATGGTTGTGAAGCAGATGTTTGCTTCCACAAAGAATATTTAAGACGCTGCTGACGAGCTTTGAGGGTGGCTTTGGTAAACTCTTTGCAGTGCTTGCAATGAGAAGTCAAATGTGTTTCTCCTAAACAGAAGACACAGAGGGAATGTCCGTCCTGAAAAGGCAGTTTTCTGGAACAGGATGAGCAAAGCCTAAAAGGGCCTCTTTTAGGAGACGGTTTTCTTTTAGGTGGCATAACGTAATAGAAGCGGGAAACCGCGAAACAGAAAGAGTCCGGTAGGCGCGTGGCGCCTCAGCGGGTGGTAAACAGGCTCCAATTATCCAATTTAGAAAGTACTTGCGCTATCGCCAGAGACAGAAGAGAAGTCAAAATGATCCGTAGTCAGGGCAACAGAGATAAGGAGGTCAAAAAGCCAAGTCCAGGTCAATACATGGGAAGACATCTAATTTTTTAAGCAGCTCTAAACGAGAGGTTCCAACTCCGCTGGCAGAAAAAGTGGAACTGGATTTTGGCAGGCGGATCGTGCGCAATACAGGGCAACTCAAACTTCGTTACTTTTCCCTATAGCTTTAGAAGATTCCGAGAGGCCAGCGCAGGCACTGTCTTGACCCACTACTGTGGATTCATAGAGACCACGTTGAAGAACCAGCTCTCTTACCCAATAGTCTGTTAGTATTTTCATCTTTTATTTCCCCTATTTGATAATACTTCAAAAAGAACAGATTCATTGATAAATGTAGCAAACAATCTAAAGCATATTAAATTGACACCTGCATAGTAGTCCTTCTTTTGCTCAAAACTGTAACTCACCTGACCCAAAACAGGGGAAGGAGATGATCCAGTTACAGTGGCTGGGGTGAAGGCAGATCTTTGCCTCAGTTGACCTGTGCTTGGAACTGTAAGGGAAGGTTGAGCTGCCCAGGCATCCCAGTTATCAGTCTCTGGCTTATCACCAGTATTTGTTGGCCATCTGAAAAAGTAGAAAGTACAGTGATCAATACAAACAGGACACTCTTTACCTTTACTACTTACTAGAAAACAATGGCTCCTGCCCATTTCACATTGCAACACTGCTACTGCATATCCACTTCTCCAGTCACCAATGCTATTGCAAGACTAGCCAAATAAGAGAGAAAATCTGAAGATACGAATATTCATGAATAAAGTATTGAAGAGGTATCATTCTGAGCAAAAATATTTTTTGTTTCATCAGTTCAAATTTGTGAATGTAACTATGACTATTATTTCTCTGCATATTCTTGTGATGTTACTTCAAGATTTCTCCCTTAACTTTCCATATATTGTTACCCTTAGTTTTAGGAGGCTTCAATCCCAAAACATCAGATTGTGTGAACTTTTTTTAGGGTTCAAATTTAGAAAGAATTTTTACTAAAAATTATTTTCAAATTCATCTATTTCAGACTAGTAATTTCTTTTAGTTAGTAATTTGTGAGAACTTGCTTGCTAGGCTGATTTAACTGTGTCTTCCAATGAAATACTATAAATAACTAAGGACAGATATGCGTGCACAGATGGTTGAAAACTATTTGTAGACTTAATTGCAAGGCTACTTTTAACTATGTGGATTATTCACCTTTACAGTTATAAAGAAGAAAGAAAGGAAAATTGAACCCCAGTGAAATCGTACGTTGAACTGAAGTCTGCCCAGTTGTTGGCAGTGGTAGTTGAATCTGCAGGAACAGGCGGTGCCATGGGTGTTGTAGGAGTTTCACGCAGTGAAACTTTAGGTGCAGTAGTTACATCTGGTACTGGCTTAACAGAGTTTGGGATTTCATTTTCAGAAATTTTCTCTGCATAGTTTGCAGGAAACCATCCTGTTTTCCCCTTCAGTTCACCTCCAAGCCACCCAGGTTCTCCAGTTTGGCTTTCATCCACCTGTACAAATAAGTCATGAGATAATCTCAATTGTAAAAGTAAGATGCGATCAAGAAATATACATTCTCTTAAGACCTATCTAAGCATTGCGGAATGTTCTTACTCTCTGTACTAGAGATTCAATTACAAGTGTGGGCCATTTTTCAGATAAGCCAACAGCCTAAGGGCAGCCCTCTAAAGGGGGAAGGTACGGCTAAAGAGGCTAATTTGCATTATTATAATTAGTAGCAGATGTTATAGTAGTAAAGTTTGCTAGACTGTGTTTTTATTAGTTGAAAAATGGGTTTAACTAAAAATATTTTGACTGGAAAAGCCCCCTTGTGCCCTCCAATGGCAAAACATACATTTTTACATTTAAAATTTGGGATCGCATGGTTAAGGTGATACAGTAAGGTCCTAAGAGTGCTTAGCCCCATCAAAATATGGTAAAATTGCCTCCTATGATCCCAGAGGGCACAACGGACCTTTCTGGGAATGTTTTTCACAAGAAATTTTTTGGATTATGAAAGGGCTGGGGGGGGGGGAGCTCAGGAGTGCTAGAAAGCCACAAAAATGCCCCTGGAGGGCTGGCAGAATGAAATGTAAATGTAAGACAGAGAAGGGATAGGCAGCTTCTAAGAGGTGAGGATCCTTTCCCCCCACTTTCAGACTTTGGTGGAATGTACCCGTCCCTCTAATTTTGCTTTAAAATTGCAAAGTCTCTCTTCCTAAAGGCCTCTGGGGTGAAATGTTGAACCTGCAATCTTAGCATTCTCCCCAAATTCCACTTTTTCTGTTACAAAAACTGTGGGAGAAGGAATGGGACAAAATAAGGGGGGAATGCCCCTATACACAAATTCTTTTTCTCCCTTGGGCCTTCATATCTTCAGCAATGATTAAAAACTGGTCAAAAACTTTCTTTAAAAAGTGAAGACTTATTACAAATGCAGAGTAGCATGTAGGCTTGATGCTGTCCTCAAGGAGTGTCACTCATTGTTCTAAAGGAGTGTCATTACTGAGCAAGCCTTGTTCCTAGTAGGTGACTGTCACACCTCGTTCGGCACAATAGGTGTGGTGTACCATATGCAGAAAGTGGCAATCTTTTTCTACCAACTCACTCATTGTTTTTTGGCTAGTGGTCCCCAACTCTGAGGCATAGTGGGCACACCTGGAACTTTGAGGTAATGTTGTGGGGACTTTCACAGAATGACATCTGGGGGCATGCCCATTCACAAAGTGGTTGCCATGGTGCACATAGCCTGTCAAAAACCACTTATTTTCCAAAAGGCAAAGTGGTTAGATGAGAAGAAAAATGGCGTGCCCAAAAATCTAAATATAGGGCAGATGCAGGATTTAGGCTACCCCCCCCCAAGATCATTATTTCAAACCTAGTTTTCTCTTCTCATATCACAAAAGACAAATTGATGAGACGCAGAGACGGCTAACATGGCTGTTTTTAAACAAATAGACTAAAAACAATATTATCAAACACCAGAGAACCCACTCTGCCCTTTCAGTCTCTAGGATCTTACAGTTTCACAATATCTATCCTTAAGGTATGCAAAACATTGTGTAAAAAAATTGTATTCCATTGTGCAAAATCTTATTCCTGTCTTACCATGATGATGTCTCCTGGCTGGATGGTGATTTCATCATGGCTTCGGGATTCAAAAGGATACAGCGCTCGATAATATACTATTTTTACATCTTCTTGAGCAGAAATAGTTAATGGAGCCTTTTCTATATCCATAAAGACAAAAAAGACCAACAAAAACTAACTTTTTTTTTTAAAAAAAGGACAAATATATTTTATCAGAAAAAAAGTCCACATTTCTCACACAAATATTTTATACAGATTCACAATACAGTATCCTTATTGTGAACACAATTAATATTGCTTTCACTTTAAATGAGCAGAAAAATATGACAACTTATACAACTTGTTATTACAAATATAAAAATGAGAGATTCTGAAATGAGAATATCAGAAATTAAACTACAAACGCACAAAGGGATAAAAATACAATTTGTGTGAAATGTGCACATTAAGAATAGAACATCCTAGCTCTCTAAGAGTTCTATCTGTATCTCCCAATTCTAAAAAAAAACCTCATACAACAGGAAGATGAATAAAAGAAGGGAAACAAGGATATGAATCTTGATCGGCTACAATTGAGAGATATATTAGCATGAAAACCCTACACAATTTAGATAAGACAAATTTGTAAGAACATAAGAGCAGCCCTTGGAGATCAGACCAAAGTGTTACCTGATCCAACATCCTGTTTCCCACTGTAGCTAAACAGGTGTCTGTGGAAAGCTCACAGTCCCCTCCAACTGTAGTGTACAACCAACTTGCATGGTCTCTATGATTCTAGACACAGTATATAATGACCATGATGATTAATTACCACTGGCCATTCACACATGGTCCTATGATTTTTGGTATGTGCTTATCTGCTAGGATACTGAGCAGTACACTGAGTGTCCTTGCAAATGGACCTGAACCAAAGTTTTGCACACATCTTAGATTAACCCAAGCAGTTTCCTTAATGAGAAGGAACACACAAAATTAAGGCTGAATTAACCCAAATGCAGCAGCTAAAACTTTAAGTGTAGCGTCCCCTAGGTAGCATATACACTGATTATGTGTTACTGTATTTGCATTTGCCTCAAGACTTAATGACCTAGGACCTGGACTAGACATGGGACCTTCCTCCTGGGAGATATGAATACAAAGCTCAGCAACACAGGTGTATGGTAGTCCATTCTTGCCCCCAGAACCAGCCCATTTATCAGGCTCCTCACAGCGTGTGCATCCAAAGGCAGAGACATTGCACTAATCACAGATGTCCTGCCAGTGCTGCTCCGTCTCTCCCCAAAGCCGACTGCTCCAGCGAGGAGGCGGGAAGACAACTCTCCCTGCTCAGCTGCTGAGCATTTGGCTGAAAGGAGAGGTGGGGTGGTGCTGGCAGGACTTCATCTGCGATTGGCACAATGTTGCAGCCGTTGGACATGAGCGCTGCAAGGAGTTCAATGAGTGGACCAGTCTGGTTCTGGGGAGGGTGGGTGGGAATAGACTGCTGTGGCACCTGTGGTGCTGAGCTCTGTATTCCTGGGATATGAATACGAAACTCCCATGTCTAATCTAGACATCTTAAGGGCTGCCACAGACACAGGGGAAACTACCTTACAGCAATGGGAGCCATTTTTAATCTTAAAAAGCATGTTTGTAATGATTTTCAGAACAAGCACGCTGTGGATGACACAGCTAGAACTGCCCTACATATGGTCACACTACCTATCCAGCCAATATTGTGTACTCCTATAGGTTATGCCTCTTCCAGGTACAACCTGATCCTTTATCTGACTATACTACATATTCAACATGGGATCTTCTGCATACAGAACGAAATGCTTCACCACCAAGCTATGGCTCCTCCCATCTTTTATCACAAGTCAGTTCAATCTCCTAGATCACCAAGGAACTGAATTTCCTTCTGTGATAGCTACACAAGACCCCCGAGTTCCTGAGTTTTCAACATACCGTTAACAACTTTACAAATTCAAAGAATCTATGGGGGCATGAGTTAGCTTTCACTGCTATGAGTCTCACTGCTGCTGCAATCCTCATTTATTCTGTTTTGGCTTTTTTTTTAAAGGACTTGTTTTTATATTATTATTCATGTAAAAACATTATCGCCACCCACATTTTAAAAAAGATTTTGAATGCCAAAACTCTGTCATGTTAATGCATTTCCAAGGACAATTTATCTGGCTCAGAAAAGTTCAAATACATGCACCATAAGGAAACATCAGGTGAAATCTTGTTGCATAACTTGCACAAAAGGCACACATTTTGGATGTGAACTGCCACAGGAAATCTCCATAGGTGTTGTGTGTTGAACACTGAATTGTGCATAATTGCACAACACAGTTTGGGCTATTATTTTAGAATATTAGCCTTCAACAAGTGGGTTGCTGCCTGATCTAAGGTGAACTGCAACAATAAATACTGCTCTCTTCTCTCTTACTCTCCCATTTAAAGCACATATTTAAATCCTTAATATTATGTATGTGCAGGAGTGTCCAGCCTCACTGCCTAAAGAGCACTGTTAGTACTGGGTTAAGTTTTGACTCTGCTTTTACACATATTTTTTCCCATGGTTCTAACTGGGACTCTCAGCAAACACCAAGAGCATGGCAAACTGTTCTTCCTTTGTAGAGAGAGAAACAGAGCTACAAGTATTTCCCCATCAAATTCGTCGTTGTTTAGTCATGTCCGACTCTTCGTGACCCCATGGCCCAGTGCACGCCAGGCCCTCTTATCTTCCACTGCCTCATGGAGTTGTGTCAAATTAAGCATATTCAAAATTATTTAAATTAAGATAAATGATTGTACATTCTGATGAATGGAGAAGACTCCATATATACACAATGCTCTCATTTTGTACCTGCAGTTGACCATGGAGCTTGGATAATTGGCTTTGTTGGGTCCTTAGGCTGATGAAAAAGTTTGTTCAATTTTTCTTGCACTTCCTGTTTGTTTTTATCATCATTCTCTCTCTTTTTGTTTAATTCTTCCCATTTTTGTGCTTCCTCTTCTTCTTGCATTTTTCTTGGCTTTGAGTGTTCATCTTCCTGTTGTATTCTGTCAAGCCACTGTCTATCTCTTTCTTGAGTTTTCCTAATTAGAGCAAAAAATAAAATGAGAAGGAAATTGCACTACACTTTCTAAAGCATGCTGGTACTATGTACTAATGTCACTACAAAGGCACATTCTGAGATATTTTATATCATAAAAATTGAAACTGCAGAAACTGTAAATGCGTTTAATAATCTGCCAATACCAGTTATTGCTGTTACAACCTGCAGAACATAAAGGTTAAATACTAACATTAAATTAATCTTACCTACTAATTACAACGCCAAACAATCACAACTGTGGAAACAACACAGCATTTAAGTCAAAGTATCAGTTATTCATAACAAAATGATACGGGACAGCAGTTACCACTTATTAGAAAGTAAACTCCAACAAAGTAGCCATGATTGATTTTACATAGTTACCTATGTGCGGACAATGTTTCTCTGATTTGTTACCTAGGTTTGGAAACAGTCATCCATGCTTTCTGTTTTCACACCCAATGTCTCTATGGCAGAGTACACATGGATATTTGATTCTCTTTCTTTTGTACTAATTCTGGTTAACTTCTGGATTCTGTCACAATGTTGCATGCTGTTTGCACATAAGTGTGCCAACCCTCTTTGCTGAAAGCAACATAAATGCCTAACTTTTCTCTGGGTGAGAAAGTATATGGGTGAACTACGTGGGCAATTAGGTAGAACCAACTGTCTAGACTCTCGACCAATGTTCCCTCTAATTTTCCACCAGTGCTGGGCAGGGGCTCTACCCTGTGCATGCAGAGTTCCAGCCGCGACCAGAACCAGATGGGGAGCAACACCAGCTGCAGGTGCACTGCACCAATGCAGTGATATGCAGCCACTCACTCACGTAGCTTAAAGGGAACACTGGTTCAGACTGTTTCTACTAGGATAAGAGGGCAGAGAGAGGAAAAACAGTGGTAACAAGCAAGAGCTTAGCAAAGAATGCTCATCCCCTCCAGCGATCTCCTGAACAAGAACATAAGTAAGAGATCAAGGTTACCACCACTGAAAGTAACATTTAAGGGGACTCTCTCACGTCTCCAAATGCAGTCCACAACTCAAAAACATGCAGGAATTCTGCTTTTAACCACCAGCAGCACTCCTCTCAGAAAGAAATGTCTGAGTTTTTAGTCAGAGCAATTAATTTGAAACCTGAAACATATCATTTAAAATTCTGCAGCAAGTTGCAACTAGAATAGGTCCACTAAAAACAATGGAGATTTGGTGAGTCATCTCCTCTATAAGTCCTACTAATTCAATGGGCCTATTCTACTTACACCTTCCTACTAGATTCAGCCATCATATGGTAAGGTAATTCGGTATGTGTGACGATAATATGTTGTGATTTTTGACACTAAAAGATTAATCCCAGATTATGAGTGTAACCGTAACCAGCACATACATTTTGCTCCGTAAATTGCAAAGATTCACGTTACTATTTTAATTTAGAAATATCAACTCCATTAATGGTATACTTCATGTCTAAAGAAGCATCAACAGAACCTCAACCAGCCTTCATGATGAACTTGAGACCCATACTATTGATAAAGAAATTTCCCCTCTGTTGTAACAGAGTTCAAAATTACTGGAATGAAAGTATGAAAACTCAAATGATGAAAATTCAAATGATGAAATAAATGGTAAAAAGAGATTTTAATCAATTTTTCAAAGATGATCTGACAAAAGAATATATTTGTTCAATATTTCAAGCAAACAAACACTGTTGTGTTGAATAGATTTTGGGGAGCAGCTGAATTTAAATATTCTGTTTTCCCGAAAATAAGACCTAACCTGAAAATAAACCCTGTTATAATTTTTCAGGATGCTCATAATATAAACCCTACCCCAAAAATAAGCCCTAGTTAAGTGAAAGCCCACCCTTCACCATTGTGCAGCAACCAGAAGACTATGTTTATTCAGATACATGACTGTATCTGAATAAACATAGATTGTGGTACATGAAAAAAATAAATAAAACATCCCCCGTAAATAAGCCCTAATGCATTTTTGGAGCAAAAATTAACATAACACCCTGTCTTATTTTCAGGGAAATATAGGGTAAGAACCAGAGAAAAAGTTTTTCTCTGCTTCTTACTCTATATTTAGTCATTTGTACTTATTACATTTGAGTTTTCATCTTTCCCTATTCCAATAACTTAACTCTGTTATAACAGAGAGGGAAACCTGCCATCCTTTAATCAGCCAAAGACTTATTGAAATAAGGAATTACAACCTTTTCATGATCCAGCTAGAAAAATGTTGTAACCAGCAACCATAATCATGCAAATCCTCCTTTGGAAACAATTTACTGGAAATAGTAACGTTCTCTCTCTGTCTCTCTCTCTCTCTCTCTCTCTGTGTGTGTGTGTGTGTGTGTGTGTGCATGTGTGTAATATCAGCATCTTGCTAATCATCTTGCTAATATAAAAGTCTTGCGAGTACGGCATGGCAGTCAGACTGGCCTTAAGTTCAGCATGCCATCATTCACTGTGACAATATGCAAAAAAACCAGAGAGATCTTTATGTGGAAGACAAATATGCTTATAATTGTGAATTTGGCCCTTTTTAATTTGAAAATGAACAAAAATTAGAGGATTAGGTCCCTAATCCCAAATTCAATATTTCCTAAAACATAAGAGTTTTTATATAATACCAAAGATTTTGATGCTCAAAAGCTTTGATCAGAACTGTTTCACAGTTGTTATGAGCCACAGTTCCACATTCAAACTCACCTCAGGCCGTCTTTTTGTTTTTCGTGTTCTGTCCTCCTTTCCTGCTCCTTCTGTTTTAGCCTGTCAGCTTCTATGTGCTTCTGCTTCTGCAGTTGCTGCTTATTATGGATCTCCCTTAGTTCCTGCAATAAAGAAGTGGTCTGTCTGTATCATTTTAAGAGTCCTTATTTTTAGCAGCAAGAAGAGCAGTTCGTGTCTGGTACAGCCAAACATGACTAGTTATGTGAAGCTTCTATAACTGCCATAAGCTACTTTGGTTTTCTTTTGTACCATGTGGGTTTGTATCTAGTATTGAAATCCTAGTAGCCACTACTGTACTTCTGCTCCAGCTATGATACAATGCTGTTAGTTACATTCTTTGCTTTTGGTAGACATGGTGATCTAACAGAAGCTGCTCTTGTGATGTCTTTTACACAAATGGGAAGTTGTCACTTCTGCTGTCTGTTAAAGTTGCACTTTGCTAACGTCATCCATCACCTGATTTTTCTCACATTTTGTCTGGGCATAACAGTTTCTAAGCAATTGGTTGGTCTTCGCTAACAAACTAAAAATCTAGCACACCAGGTAGAAAGATTCTAGTTCAGCCCATCTCCTTTTGCACATATTTTCCATATGTCTATCTTATTCCTGCCTTATTCTATTATACATGTAGATTGATCTAAATTGGATACTAATATCTTGATCCAAAACAAACGTAGTCTCACACAAGGAACATGAATTGAACTTTACTGTTAAGGCATGCAATCTCTTGACTGGCCAATTCAAAGTGTAAAGAAAAACATGAGGTTCCTAGTCAATTTGTTTAGAAGGCTTGCACAATATACTGTGTCAGCATACAAAGGTGTATTAGCTGTTATGTTCTGTATGTTTGACATACAGTTTGTTAAAATATTATTTTCTATGACCTCTAGCTGAAACTGTAGCTCTCCTGGCTGTAAAGGGAACTTTATAGCTGAATTGAATGCTTACATTTTTTCCTAAAAGTATGCTCAGAGCAAACTATTAATTATTCATTGCTCTCCCATGCAATACCATATACACTCAATTATCTCTTTTTGTAATAGATATCCTGGAAGCTGACTTGTCTACCTGAAAATCAAATGCTGGCTGTACGAAACATTTTAAAATCTGGACTGGTGAAATAATTTATTAAGCAAAGTCAAAGTTCATTAAAACACTTTAGGCTTCTGAGGTCCCTTTAGCAAGTTGTTACCAAAAGCAGTACTTATGTTATCTGCCATTAATTTCCCACTATTTCGATTCACTGTGTGACTAAATTTTAGTCCTGTGAGAGACTTCAAGGCCTTCATTATTTTATACACCTCATGTTCCTCCCTATTTGCCTTTTTTTAAAATAAAAGAAGTCCAAATGTTGTAATTTTCCTTGTTTCATGACTTAGTTTACAAAAATAAAGCCAAATTGGAGAAGCATCTTAGAAAACGTAGATACACTGTTACTGCTTCCATAGGAATCAAGAGGCTGAGTAGCAGCCAGGTGCTGCCAACCAAATGCCCTTGAGTAACTAACTGATCATCAGCAAGTGTGACCACCTTTCTATAAAAGCCAAAGTTTTAGCCATTTGCTGGTCTGGAGCATTCAGATCTGTGTTTACACAATGCCAAAGAGGAAAGACATCAGCAATGACCTTAGAGGAGCAACAGCTGCTGCCCATCCATCTGCGAACAGTTATAAGATCATTTCCAAACAGTTTAAAGCCCATCATTCTACACTGAGAAAGATTATTCACAAGTGGAAAACATTCAAGCCAGTACCAATCTGTCCCAGATGTCCAAGGAAATTTACCCCAAGGTTAGACCATGCAACATTCATAGAAAGTGCAAAAAAGAAAAAGAAAAAAGAAAACAAACAAACAAGAGTTACATCTCAGACTCTACCTGCCTCAGGTAACATGTGAAATGCTAAAGTTAATGCATGTACAATCAGAAAAAGAACAAGTATGGCTTGTTTGGAAGGTTTACCAGGAGAAAGCCTCTTCTCTCTAAAAAGAACATGGCAGCACAGGTTTGCCAAGCTGCATCTGGACAAACCATAAGACTTATGGAACAATATCCTTTGGACAGACAACACCAAAGTAGCGATGATTCACCATAATGCACACTGTCAGGTTTGGTGAAAACAGAACACAGCATATCAGCACAAACACCTCATACCAAATGTCAAGCACAGTAGTGGAGGGGTGATGAGTAGTGGAGGGGTGATGAGTTTCCAGCCACAGGACTTGGTCACCTTGCAGTCACTAAATCAACCATGAACTGCTCTGTATACTAAAGTATTCTAGAGTTAAATATGAGGTCATTTGTCCAACAGCTAAAGCTTGGCCAAAACTGGGTCAGGCAACAGGACAATGATCCCAAGTACAGTAGCAAATCTACAACAGAATGGCTGAAAAGAATCAGGTCTTGCAGTGGCCCAGTCAAAGTTCAGACTGAAACCCAACTGAAATACTGCAGTGAGACCTTAAAAGAGCTGTGCATAAACAAATGCCCACAAACATCAATGAACTGAAGCAACATTAAATTAAGAGTGGGCCAAAATTCCTTCACAACAATGAAGGAGACTGATAAAAATGATTACTTTAGGTTATTGCTGCTAAAATTAGTTCTACAAGCTATTGAATCATAAGGTGTACTTAGTTTTTCACACCAAGCTTCTCCATTTTATCTTTATTTTTGTAAAACAAACCATGACACGGACTAATATGTAATGTGTTGTTCTTAATCTGAGGTTGATTTTACCTAATTTTCAGTTTCTTGCTCCTTCTGCATTTAAAACAGAAGTGGGCATTATAAAGCCAACAGGTTACATAAAACTTCTTCAGGTAATTTGTTTTGGCCCTAGGCCCAACAAATTTTAAATGCAATATACATAATATGTAAAATATATAATAAATATAATAATTATTATAATTACTATAGTAATAATATTATAATAATAATATTATAATAATATAGTAATATATATACTTTTTGACAAAAGCAACCTATTTCTAGTTTTCACCTTAAGGATATGTTTCCTAAAGACCTCTAGCTCCCAAACTGGAGGAAAAACCCAATGAAAACACATTTGTATTTTAAAACATGCAAAAATTGACATTTCTGGTGTAGTCACTGAAGCTATAAAATAAATAGCCATAAAAGAAATAAAACTTTGGCTCCCAAGCTCCCTGAAATTGTATGGACTTTAAAATTATTTTTCTTTCTTTCTTTCTCTTTCAGGTAAAACTTCAAAAAATTGCTTCTTCTATCTTGTAGATATGGACTTAAATCCAACTGATAGTCTGATCTAGATCAGTCATTAATCAACATAATTTACTTAAGCACTGACTTACAATTTAGCAAGGGTTCCACTCTAGCCAACTAGATTAAGGCCATAGTATCTTCAGATTTACTCAAAGAACAAGAGAGCCTAGAACTCATTACCTTTAGCTGATTATTGAAAATATCTATCTCTTGAAGTTTTGATCTTGTTTCTCGTTCTACATCATCCAGTTGGTTACGAAGCTGCTGACGCGCTAACTCCTTTGCTTCTAAGGCTCTTTTGACAGTGAGAAGGGAATCTCCTGTTTATAAAAAACACGCTGATAATAAAGACAATTTCCACTACCTTTTGATGATTCTCAAGACAAAAAAACAACACTGCAATATATGTATGTAACACACAGAACAATGCTGTTCAATGTACTTACTATGCAAACTGTTTTGCTGAACCTGTTTTAGCTGATCATTGAGTAGTTGCTTTTCCGGAATCAGCCTTCCAAGCATCTGCTGAGACTCCTAAAAGAAATAAAATGGAAAAGATTACCCATTTCAGCTAGAACTATAAGTTGCAGCCTACAGCTGAACTGGAATCAATCAGAAGAAATTTCACAACCATAATCACTTTCAGGGCTGCAGAAAAAGAAAGCTACTTCACAAAATTTCCTCAGCACATTATTCACTATATTTTCACATATGTCCTCTCTCACACAGTACAGTAGGCAAGCAATCATGGCAGGTAGTTTTCCTTCACTGTAACATTGCTTCTTCCAAAATGATCCTGTCAATCTAGCTTTTCATTACTGTAGGTCTAGAAGGAACGCTGAACTAGTTTTTAACAAAGAGAAATGAGTTGTCTTCATTTTGGCAGTCTTAAGTCATAGTGACTTGCCAAAAAATCAACATATTATTTTAACCCATTCCGTTCTGCAATTTCTGGGAACTATTCCATTCAGCTTCCATCCATTATAGACTATGTTTCATCATTATCAGAATAGACAGCATGCTATTGATGAATATTTTTAGATACTCACTTGTAATTGCTGTTGCAAATGTGTAATTTCTGCAATTCTCAGCTCTCTAGATTTGTTTGTTCTCTCAATTTCTTGTCTTTGAATAGCCAGTCTGCATCTGATATCCTGAAGCTTCCCCTCCAGCTGAAGTTTTTTATCATTCTTCAGAAAGAAATGAAAACATTTGTTTACTCAAGTTTTAATTCAATACTGACTATAAGTATATTTTGCCTGATCTACACACTGAAAGGAAAAATTGAAAAAAATGAAAAAGTCTACTTTGTGACTATTAGCAATCTTTGTCATTTCAAACAATTAGGGCACATATCTGCCAGAAGGAAACCGGAGGTAAATCTAATTGTTAGATCCAATTAGAGTAGATCTATTGAATGAGTGGACCTTGTTACAGTCACATGAATAATTCCACTGATTCAGTGGATCTTTTCTAGTTGGGACTAATAACTGGACTGAGCCCTCTGGATTTAGTCCTAAATGGCAAATACCTACCAGAGCTTCTAGTTCAAATTCCAAAGTTTTTTTCTTGGCTTTCAAAACAACTATATCCTCTTGCTCTTTGTTTCTTTGATTCAGGAGCTCCTGCCGACGATTGCGTTCCCATTCAAGTTGTCTTTGCCGCTCAAGTTCCCTTTTCGCAGCCTATACAGTTTAGAAACATTTTTTAAAAAGTTTAATTGTATATAATCTTTGCTATAAAACATTCAGATACAAAACTCACGTTTCAATATTTTGAGTTACTGAGACCTAGGTTTGTTCTTATAACTGTGCCAAGAAACCTCTAGAAAACAGGAAGGTGTCTTAGACCAAGTCAGATTGTTGGTCCACCTAGTTCACTATAGAGACCAACAGAATCTCTTCAGGCAGAGTTTTTCCTACTCCTGCCTCCAGGTGCTAGGGATTAAACTTTGAAACATTTAAATTCATAACACTTGTACTATGTGGTGGCCCTTTCCCATTCCTGTATTTGCAGACAGATCATGACTCCTGCACTTTTTCTCCCTGTCCTTTTATCCTGCATATAAAATAATATCTAAAGATTAAATGATTAAACAAATAAACTCTATCACTCTGGATATTGTACTGCAGAAAAAAAATTTCAGTAAACGTAAGCATAGAGTTGTTACATAAAAATCATAGCATCCTACTTGAGGCATTACTACTGTTTTGGAGTAACAGATTTTAGTAGAAAGGAGAAGAGATGCAGAAACTGAGAAATGATACTATGCTAATATGCCAGGCAATTTTTATGTTGTACACTGTTCACTAACTGGGGCTTAAATCCAATTGTTAAGCACAACTAAACCCAATGGATTTATATGTATATTGATTTGTCATTTAGGAGTTGATTCAATGGATCTATTCTAAATGGGATTAGCTTTTAGGTTTTTATAATGCATTAATTCCAACAATCATTAATTTCCATCACTAAGAGAAAAGAGATGTAAAAATGGCAGTTATTTTCACATGTAATACTGGTATTTTATTTTCTATAAACAAATTTTAATATAAATAAAATGTATATCCCCCAGAGGTTTTCAAAGTGGCTTGCAACTAGTCACAATGAAGATCATGATTCTTTCAAAATGCAAGAGAATATGCTAACGAGGAAAAAAGTTATGTTTCCATATTCTATAAAATCAAATAAACAAATAAAAAGCAATTTGGCAGGTCTGTCTGGGAAAAAGGCACCATGGTGAAGGAAAACTACCTGATTTAACTATGAAGGCAAATGTATTTATGCCATGCCTTCCTTGGGTATTCTTTAAAAATGCAATAGAAGGCATGCTATATATATGGTTTTAAAAAGTCAATACCAATACTTTGTATTACTCCTATAAGCTAACAGAGAGCCAGCATCGTACAGCATAGCATCAAAGTAATGAATTCTGGTTAAAAGCCTTAATTAGACACCAGTGTCACATATGAGCAAGGCAATGCCTTAACTCTACCTTATTCTGTTATTACAGTGGGGTCTTGACTTGAGAACTTAATCCGTATTGGAAGGCGGTTCTCAAGTCAAGAAGTTCTCAGGTCAAATCTGCATTTCCCATAGGAATGCATTGAAAACCATTTGATCTGTATCTGCTCTTTTCCGTCCATAGAAACTAATGGGAAGCTGCTATTCGGCCTTCGACCACTAGAGGGGGATATTTTATTTCTTTTTTTTTCTTAGGTCATGAAAGGTTCAGGGAAGGCCGGGAAAATACAGTCCAGGTAGTACAGTACCAGGCAGTCTGAAGACTGTCTCCCAATCCACTCTCTAAACGCTGGGAGGAGTGAGGAAGCAGACAGGCACGCTTTTCGCTGGCCAACAGTTAACTGAAAGTTCAAATTTTGCACTTTCCCTGCCTCCCACGTGGTTTTTTTTTCAGTTCTTAACTCAAATCTAAGTATGTAAGTTAAGTCAATATTTTCCTATGAGAGTGGTTCTTAAGTCAAAATGTTCTTCACTCAAGCTGTTCTTAAGTCAAGACCCCACTGTACTTTGTTCATAGATGAAGAGAAGAGAAGAGCCATGTAATCCAGAAACTGCAAAATCTTAACTGAAGAGGGTTCTGCAGTAGAAAAGACTCTTCATTTCATAATCTGTAATTTTTCAAAATAGCAGGGATAACAGGAGATAGGGCTAGCGTGTGCTCTTCTACATTTACTTAACCCTCATGTTGAAGCTTTGAATAGGACCACATACTGGATCATGATGGGGAACATAAGGCCCTTCCAGAAGCTCCTATGCAACATAGTTGCTAGCTAGCTAAATGTGATTGCTGGTGGGAGTTTCAGTCAACAACATCTGACGGGCAATGTATTCCCCATCTGTCTTTGATTCAAGTGAAACAGTGAATTTATACATCTTCCATGAGATAACTTTATACTGAAGTTAGATTTCTTCCTGCCACAATTTGATGTTAAAAAACAAATTCCAACTATACAATTTTTGAGAAAAAAAATATTCCCCCAATATATCTTTAAAATTTGTCTTAGATAAGTAGGTATTTCTTTTGAAAGTGTTCATTACCTCACGCCTTTCTATTTCTTTCCTCCTTTCCTCTTCCCTCTGGCGTTCCAACTCTCTTTGTTTTTCTAACTGTTTCTCTAACTCCAGCTGCCTTTTCCGTTCCTGCTCCTGTCGTTCACGTTCTTTTCTCTCCTGCTCTGCCCTTTCTAACTGGGCAAGGCGCTCTTGCTCTTTTCTCTGCTGCTCCAAAAGGGCTTGCCTCCGCTTTTCGAGCTCTAGATTGCCACGTTCAAAATTCTCACGTTTTTTATCTTCAAATGTAACTTTAAGGGAAAAAATGTTACAGCAAGAATTCAATTACATATTCCAAGAAGAATGTACTTTAAATTTTAAGACAAGTAGACAATCTTCATTCATTTTGCTCTTCTTCCAGATGATACTCAAGATTAACAGAGCTCGGCAATGTTTTAGAATTTAAAAAGCCTAGGGCCACTTCATCCATTACATACAGTTTCTCATTGGTCCTATGTGCCTTCACAGTGTTCACCACAATATGTTCATTTAAAATGCAAGCATGTGAGACAAGTAAGCTACCAGGTTTTCAAACCTGTGTTTTCCTTTCAGGTATTGTGATAGTCACCATATGGACTTGTTGAAATCAAATGGGAACAAGACTTTAACAAACATGTTATCCTTCATTAAAGTTTCAAGACGGGTTAAATGAAATACTAATGTTTCCAGAGAACAATGAAATATGGATATAGATCCAAGAAAAGGTCCCAATAGGCAAAAGGTCCATTCCTGTCATGATCTTCATGCTCCTGGAGCTGCTATAGTGCAACTGCTTTCCACCCAAGAAAGATGATGCCAAAATGCCCCTATGACCTGGAAGAAGACACATAATAAAACTCTTTCCATAGTTGTTTCTAAGACAGGTGGCACCAGTGTAAGAAACTGTGGTGCTAGCCTCTCCACAATGTCCAAAGGTTTTTAGTACAGTACTGGCAGGAGGAGATACATTGCAACTATTACAGTAGCATCAGTAGGGATTCAAAGAAAAGCTGCAAGGAATCATATGAATATGACAATTACATAATTCTCAGAGTTTGTAGCTGGCCTTAGAGAGATTGATTGATATAGCAACATTCTCTTATCAATGGATATACAGATACTCATGGTTAGAATATATTTTGCCCACGTATCTTTCCTGGCGCTCAGCACTTTAGCTGCTGACTCTAATTGCCACTTGTTTGTTTGGTTTTTTTAAGCATCTCCTCCAAAAGGAAGTTGCAATCTTCGTCCTCTGTAACTCTGCTCACCTGGCAATTTCTTCTCCTGCTGCTGCTGCTCTTCTTCTAACACTGGTTCTTCTGGTAACCTTTGGTCTACACACACTGAGCTTGTGACAGAAATACCACTGCCAGAACGGGCTCTTCTATCAATAGGAAGTGGGTATAACAGATTAAAAGGTTTAACGGATTAAAGAGTATGTATGCACAATACTACTCTACTGTTAATAATTCATATGCAAACATTTAGTTACCAGTTAATTGAACAGGCTGCTATACAAGAACCTTACATATAAATAAGGCCACACGAATAAGACCAAGTCAAGTAAAGGCCAATGTACATGGATGTATCATTTTAGATCACGTGATTCATATCCAAATGACAATTCAGTATATTTAAAAGTAATGTTGTATGTGCAATGGTGCCTTTTACTTTTGCAAACTATCATCTGAATTAAGGACCACCAGTATGTGAACAAACTATATTCTAAATATGCAAATAACATTAATATTAGACTACATGATTCATTTCTATTATTATAGCTCTAAGCAAATTTCTACTTGCTGTGTCATTTCAATGTTCCACACCACAATCACCATTTTGAAGCATCTGTGATGCTCTGACAAATTGAAAATTGCACGCATGATGGATGATTCAGATAGTTTGCCATGAATATTTCAGACTGAGCTCAGGACAAGGAGTCCTTTGTACACAAGTCCTTTGCACATAGGGTGTTGGGGCCTGAAGAAAAATTCATTCCCCCCCCCAAACTGATTCAGTAGTACACCAGGATAGATGGCAACTCATTATTGCACATTTTCTGAAGTTCTGCTCAATCAATGTTGAGGCAACATATTTTTGACAATCTAAAGAATCACCACAATAAGGCACAATAGAGATTATTACTGTACTTTATAGTCTATTAATACATTTCTCAGGAATCAACAAAACCATACATATTCAGTCTTCTCACCAACTAATAGCAAATATCAAGATCTAAACCAGCAACATAATAATTTTACCTAAAGGAAGGAGGAATATATTCTGGAGACAAGGCGGGTGGCAATGGCTGTCCTGACATAGCCATATCAATTAAATGCATAGCCAAGATAAATTCTTCTGCTGTCAGTTTTCCATCCTGGTCTATGTCTGAAAGATTCCTATGGGAAAAGGAGATGCAAAGACATTCTTTTTTTCTGACATCCTGATAACAAAGACAGGAGAGAGAGCCACAGAAGAACATCTATACAAAGGACTGGCAAGAGGCTGATCACAAGCTGAGTGCTGCTCAGTCCAAGAATAATTTTGAAAATTTCTTTGATGAAAAGTTTGTTTGTGCCTTCTAGGAGGCAATTTTGCCATGTTTTGGTGCTTGGAATATCTTTGTCACTAGATGTGACCTGAAAATGTTTTCAATTTAAAAGCCTTTTAAACAGAAATTTATTTTCAAGGTCGGCAGGAATCAGGAGTGGTCTTTCAAGAACCGGGGTGGACGAGTAGAAGTTTGAAGGTTACCCACTCTTGGTTTATACACCTCCTAGATTATCTGATTACTGTAACTCTTCACATTCAGTGGCCATTCAATATCAGATACTTGAATAGGAAGGGAGTATATACAGCAGAAAGCAGATGAAGATCTGTCTCTAGACCAGCTCTTAGTAGCTACCTCCTCTGATTCACCCCTTTAGAGAAAATAACCATTCTCTAAGTGCAAGAGAGTCTTCTTGGGTTTTTGTATTTTAACAATATATTCCCCTGTTCTCCTATTTTATTTTCCTCCTGACTATGTATGTATTTCTAATATTAAGTCATTTAAAAAGAGAAATATAGTGAGAGTTCTTCCCAAATCCATTTATAAAGGGAAGGATAAAGAAATATAAATTAGGAACTAAATCTTACACTCTAACCTCTTCAAAGAAATATGTTTTCCCCCTCTAGCTCAACAATCTTGTTGGTTTTAAAAAATAGTATCCACTGAGAACCAGTCCTATGCACATTTACAAGATAATCAATTCATTCTTTCAAAATAATAAACCCATATCCCAGTAGCAGGGTATGGTTAAGAAGATTAATCTGGTAGTGCTTCACTGTAATTATGTGAATTTTCATTGCAATACATAAGAATATTTTAATATGACATTCTCTCATAACCTATAGCACTACAAGTGAATTGTGAGCAGGACTCCAGCTTTAATAGTTAAGTAAAGTAGCCTGAAAAAGAAAAAAGATGGAAGGATAGGGAATACATGTAGCTCTAACGCAGTGAAATAATTTTTCAAAAAATATTTACCATATTGTAGCCAGCTGAGCTTGTGGTAAGCTTGATTGCATAAGGATAGTTCTTGCTTGTGGACCTAGTGAATTGGAACATTAGAACTATTTGTATTGAATACATGACCTTCAAGGAGCTTCTTGCATGACAGATCACAGTACCTATTTTCAACCAAGGTAGTATTGGGCATACCAGCTCTTTAAATAGAATATTTTAAATCCCAACAGAAACAAATCCTAACCAAAACTCTTACAACACTGACCTCTGACTGGAGACAACCAACTTGGGGTTTTTTTTTTAGACAAATGGAGAAGCTAGTGAATGAAAAAGTGTACATCACATAGCATTTTAGGCTTTGAATATAGTCTTGCTTCACATTTTGGTATATAAACATGGAAGTAATTTGCTGTGACTAATACATGTTATCAAGTATTTACAATACAGTGGTACCTCGACTTAAGAACTTAATCCATATTGGGACTGCGTTCTTAAGTCGAAACGTTCTTAAGTCGAAGCACTATTTCCCATAGGCATGTACTGAAAACCATTTAATCCATATCTGCTGTTTTTCGTTCTTAAATCGAGGTGCTGTTCTTCCCATAGGAACTAATGCAAAGCCGGTTAATCCGTATCTTCCACTAGGGGGCGAATTTTTCTTCTTCTTTTGACCTAAGGTGAACTTAGGTCAAAAAAGGGTAGGAAAGTTTTTTTCTTTTTTCTTTGGTTCTTAAGTCGAGGCTCCGTTCTCAAGTCGAAGCAACTTTTTGCAAACGGAGCTATTCTTAACTCGAATCGTTCATAGGTAAGACATTCTCAAGTCAAGGTACCACTGTATATAAGAAACCCTACTTTCTACCTGCATCATAGAGATAACAATGTTTACATTTGCTAACATCTAATATGGAGGCAGCTTTATCTCACAGTCACCTAGCACCAATCCAGTTGTTTTCTCATATATAACATAACCTCAAAATCTGTTTAAGAACTAAGAAACAGTAAAAGAGTACAACATAAACTAATGATACATAGAACAATGCAATCTAAATAAATATTAAAAGAATGGTTTTTAAAACTAGCACAAAAAATTACATAAAGGCAAGAAAAACCTATTTTCAACAATGTCAACTATCCACTTCTAGTACATGCCACGTAGATGGATTCATGATGTTTGCACATTGGGCATGATTTGCTCTTGAACAGGCTGGCTACATACATCATTATTCTATCATATTTAGAACTGATGATTCCTCCAAGTGTAACATTCCTCTCTGCACTGAGGTAAATGATACATTTCAGTGTACAGTATGGTACATGTATGGTAGAAGTCCATTGCACATATATGGTGTAATACCAAAACCTCCTTTATAGCTACAATGAGTAAATTGGATTAGAGAGAGAAATCACTATTTGCCAAGGCAAATGCTACAGTCAGAAGTGCATGTAAGTTAAATAGACAGACAGACAGACAGACAGACAGACAGACAGACAGACAGACAGACAGACAGATAATATTCCCATTTTCTAATTGGTAATTCATTTTTTGCTGTTGAGACAATTATGTTTTTAAAAACATCTGCAATCTTCAGCATTTTTACAGCAGAAAGGCAGAGTACCAAGGCTTGTTTAAGGCAACTAGTTTAAGGCAAATTCTAGGTCTGCCAGAGCTCAGACTCAAGCTACCACCCTACAAGCTCACACATTTTTATCCAAGGACCCCACTTAATCTGCCTAAGGTCCATTTAGTGCAGCACTTTCCAATGGTGGCTAGCCACTAGAAAGTCAGAAACCTTCCCTACTGCTTGTTTCCCAAGAATGAGGAAGCATAAGAGACATACTGTCTCTGAGCCTGCAACTTCCATTTAGCTATATAATCTAGCTAACAACTTTTTGAAGGCCTTGCTGGCCAGACTGCTGACCAAGGTTTGCTATAGGAAACATATAACTGTCTTACTACAACAATGTCACTGGCTGCTGGTAAGTTCCTGGCCTCATGCAAAGTGCTTGTTATGAGCTATAAAGTACTATACAGTGGTGCCCCGCATAGCAACGATAATCTGTTCCGAAAAAAATCGTTGCTATGTGGATTCGTCGCTATGCGGGGCAAAAAAGCCCATAGGAATGCATTAAAACATGTTTAATGCGTTCCTATACGCAAAAAACTCATGGTTCTGCACAAATCCTCCATGCGGCCGCCATTTTCACTTGGTTCTGCAGAAATCCTCCATGCGGCCGCCATTTTCACTGCCCGGTAAGCGAGGAAAGGGCGCGAAAACACAGCGGGCGGCCATTTTCTTTACCCGGTGGCCATTTTGGAACCGCTGATCAGCTGTTAAAAAATCGCTATGTGAAAATCATCGCAAAGGGATGTTTTACCATTAGAAACATCGCAATGCAATCGCTTTTGCAATCACAAAAAACACATCGCTATGCGGATTTGTCGTTAAACAAATCACTCGTTATGCGGGGCACCACTATATATGGTTGGAGGCTAAGCTATCTAAAGGAGCATACCTTCCTAATGGAGGCCAAGCTATCTAAAGGAGCATACCTTCCTAAATGAACCTGCTAGGATTTTAAGATCTTCGGAAGAGGCCCTCCTCTTAGTCCTACCACCTCTAGAGGGATGTTTGATAGGCATGCAAGAGAGGGCCTTTTCCATGTCTGCCCTCAAGTTGTGGGATGCCATACCTCAGGAGCCCAGGTTGCCTTCCTCCCCATTGTCCCTCAGAGGTAGCAGGTAAATATCTCCATTTTAAAGCAGATTTGCAACAACTGAACATCATCAGGTTTTATTTCAGGATATGTGTGTAGTGTGTGTGTAAGTGCATAAACATCTGCGTGTACGCACACACGCACACACTGAATCAATGGGTATTTGGTAAGAAAACTTATCTGCAAGTTCCTTTGATTAAATGATCCCACTATAGTAACTTTAACTTACTACTGTATTTCAGCCACTGTGTTTTTCACATGACTTATTTTTGAACCAGACTAGGAGAAAATCAGCACAGAAATGAAATACATATCTTCTTTATCATTATGTTATAGTAACCCAGTTTAGGACCTTGATATCTGGCAGAGCGACTTCTCCCACTCAGTTCTGCCAGAGTCACTCGTTCCAGCCAGGCCAGGCGGCTGAGGGGCCTAACGCCAAGAGAAATTCGGAAGGAAAGAACGAGGACACAGGCCTCCTCAGCAGTGGCCCCTTGCCTTTGGAACAACTTGCCTGTGTAGATCTGCCTGGCTCCCTCTCTGGGTGTTTTCAGGAATAAACTTAAAACCTGGCTATTTGGGCAGGCTTTCCCTCCTGCTGCATCTTAATTTCTTATACTTTCACCACTTGGATTTATAATACAGTGGTGAACCGCATAGCGATGATAATCCGTTCCGAAAAAATCGTTGTTATCCGGATTCATCGCTATGTGGGGCAAAAAACCCCATAGGAACGCATTAAAACACGTTTAATGTGTTCCTATGGGAAAAAAACTCACCTTTAAGCAGAAATCCTCCATCTGGACGCAATTTTTGCTGCCCGGTAAGCAAGGAAAGGGTGCGAAAACACTGCGGGTGGCCATTTTATTTACCCGGTGGCCATTTTGGAACCGCCGATCAGCTGTACAAAAACAGGGCATTTGCTTCCGCGCGATCATCGCAAACGCCCTGTTTTTGCCCAGCTGATCGGCGGGGCTTCGGGATGATGGGGGAAAGTGCTTCCCCCCGATCATCCCGAAGCCCGCATTTCTGCCCAGTTGATCGGCGGGGCTTCGGATGATGGGGGAGAGAGAGCCGAAGCACAGCTGATTGGTGGGGGTTTGCGAAGAT